TTTCCTATTAACCATACAAATTAACAGAATAACTAACAAAAATGTAATGGGGTTTGCTGCTAATTTCAGGTTCATCAAGTTTTTCACAGGATTTATTAAAACTCTTTGTGATTTGAACCCAGGAAGGTTTGCTCACTACTGGTTCTGACCTTAAGCAACTGAAAATTCAGTCATTTTCATAGGGATACAGCTACAAATGTAGGGGCTCCAAAGTGTGGTTCATTACTACTGCTAAGTTCAGGTTCACTAAGGTTTTTATAGGATTTGTCGAACGTTTGGCCAATTGAACCGGTTCCGTCAAACCATTCTCACAGAGGAATAGCTACAAATGTAGAGACTCCAAAGTATGTCTTCTTACTACATTCCTTATCTTAGCCCCTCAATAACCCTTTTTTTACTCTACGCCTCCAAACTGTTATCCTTTTACTGAAGTCCTTCCTCTTTTGGAGCTCCCTGCTTCGCTGTCCACTATTTTTATTATGCAAAGCACACAGTCAGAGACTGGAGAAGTGCTGTCTGAGAATGAATGATAAATAGATAGGCTGCCCATGGCAGTTTCAGCGACACTTCCCCATTCACCTGTGTTTGGTCATCTGATCTGTGGCCTAAACTGTTCAAGTGCATCTCTGCTGTAGATTATGTTCAGACAGCATATGTTCTATGACTACTGGGGCACTCAACATATCTGTAAGTTTTACTATCAAAGGTGTGTTGGGTACCAGGTCAGATCTGACTGATTTGTACTAGGTCATATCAAAGGTTAAAATTAAGGTTAAAAGAATGATTGAGAAATAGTTATGTCTTCTTTGTAGTTATGCATTCATGTACTATCTGAAGGAAAATGACAATGTCAACAATGACAATGATGTTGAACTTACTTGGGAAAGTCAAATTATTGTCCTGGAAGCAATGGGATTCCTAGTGAAGAAGATTTACGACACTGAGATAAAGAACAATAGACATGGTAGAAGGTTGCTTAAATAGTGACCATTGTTTTGGATGTTTTACGCTAATTGCATGTTTCCTTAAATGTACTTTTCCTGCATTTTGTTGTTATGACAATTCATGACAAATTGCACATTCTAATATAACCCCTTAGCCATGACTCTCGAATGTGCAAACTAGATGGGATAAGCACAGAAGAAGTCCCAAAATGGAAGTGAGGGGTTAGTTGGTAGGTAGCCTTTTTAGAGGGTCAGAGAGAGTATTTTATTACTTGATTTATGTGTCCTTTGGTAAATACCTAAAGTACATATAGACATTAGCAGCAGGGCAGTCATCATAGATTAAGGGGCCCCTTAAACAGCTTTAGGCCTTGGCTCCACCGGACCTGACCACTAACATTCCCGGGGCCCACCCACTGGCCTTCTCTCAAAATTCACCCACTGGCCATCCCACCAAGTCCTTCAGTGCACCCACTTTTATTTTAACACTCAACTTAATATATGAAAAAAAGTGTATTCCAAGTCATCAGTGCTTTCAAGATTTAACAAGGAAGGAATTACATTTTGGCTAAAAAATATGAAGCCTGACACCATTACAAGGTACACTCTTTTGAACAGGACCCTACACTAACACTAACTGTACTACATTCTCAAAGAGACATCCCCATCAATTCAGCAAAAAGACTTCCCCATCAATCCAGCAAAGAGACAACCCAATCCAGCAAAGAGACATCCCCATATATTCAGCAAAGAGATGCCCATCAATTCAGCAAAGAGACATCCCAATCCAGCAAAGTGACAACACAATCCAGCAAAGAAACATCCTCATATATGCAGCAAAGAGACATTCCCTATGTGAGCTGGGGATAAGCAGTTGGGATATATGCTTCCTGGGGTAAGTAGTCTTTCAGGCACAGATACCAAATACAGTGAGATTAGTGGCAAACAGTGAAGGTGTTTATTAGCTCTATTTACAAAAGACTATATACAAAGTGCTGTACAGTGTTTAACCAAAATAAACAGGGCAGGAAAATATCAAACAAAAAAAAACCTAGCCATGCCCCGGCTCTTACTACACAGTAATGCAGGTCCTAACTACCAGACTGATCAAGCCTACCATTTGTCAGCCACAATATACACAGCTAGTTAATTTCCACCAACCTTCCAGCTCTCCAGACAGGACTTGTGTGATCCCTAGGCCGAGAGCTCTGGCTACAGGTTCCAGGTGGATTTAATTGCCCATGGAGAGAGAGTTAAACCCTGCACTGGACCTCATATCAGAGATCCCTAAAGGTATAGGTAAGGAACCTGGGAGACGTTCCCATGGTTCCTTTGGGACGCTCTGCCACACCATATATTCAGCAAAGAGACATCCCAATCCAGCAAAGAGACAACCCCATATATTCAAAGAGACTCCTCAATCCACAAAGAGAAAGCCCAATTCAGCAAAAAAAAATCCTCATATATTCAGCGAGACAAAAGAGACATCCCTAGACATCCCCATATATTCAGCAAAGAGACTTCCCAATCCAGGAAAGAGACAGCCCAATCCAAAAAAGGGACAGTCTCATATATTCAGCAAATAGACTTCGCAATCCAGCAAAGAGACAACACAATCCAGCAAAGAGACATCCTCATATATTCGAAAAAGAGACTTCCCAATCCAGCAAAGAGACAGCCCAATATAGCAAAGAGAGATTTCCAATATTCAGCAAAGAGACATGCCAGTCCAGCAAAGGGTCAGACCAATCCAGCAAAGAGACATCCCAATCCTGCAAAGACACAGCCTAATCCAGCAAAGAGACATCCCCATATACTCAGCAAGGAGACATGCCCATATATTCAGCAAAGAGAAATCATAATCCAGCAAAGAGACAGCCCAATCAAGCAAAGAGGCATCTTCATATATTCAGCAAAGAGACATCATAATCCAGCAAAGAGACATCCCTATATATTCAGTAAAAAGACATGGAATTCAGCAAGTGCCATCCCCATATAGTCAGCAAAGAGACAGCCCAGTCCAGCAAAGAGACAGCCCAGTCCAGCAAAGAGACATTCCCATATATTCAGCAAAGAGACATTCCAATCCAGCAAATATATATCCCAATCCAGCAAAGACACAGCCCAATCCAGCAAAAAGACATTCTCATATATTCAGCAAAGAGGCATCCCAATCCAGCAAAGAGACAGCCCAATCCAGCAATGACACATCCCAATCCAGCAAAGAAACATCCCCATATATTCACAAGACGACATCCTAGTTCAGTAAAGAGACATCCCCATATATTCAGAAAAGAGACAGCCCAATCCAGCAAAGAGACATCTGCATATATTGAGCAAAGAGACATCCCAATTCAGAAGAGACAGCCCAATCCAGCAAAGAGACATCCCAGTCCAGCAAAGAGACTCCTCATATAGCAAAGAAACTTCCCACACAGCAAACATCCACTAAGCCTGCACAATATTTTCCATCTTTTGCAGCGTGAATAAAGCACCCATACCTGAGACTAAGGGCATTCCCATGCTATTCCTGTTGCTGTGCCTGTAGCTAGGTAAAGGTGCAAGTGCCAGGCCCCTCAGGGTGCCTGGGCCCTTCAGGATGACTGGGCTTCCTACATGTGTATGGGCTCCTGATAGCGGCCCTGATTAGCAGATATATTTTTAGGTGATCTGATATAAATACATTTGAATTCCTGTTTACATATACAGTACATAATGTTCTTTACTATATAAAGGTTTGTCTACCATGTTAATTTCTATTAATCACCAAAGAGCACACTAGTAATCAAACAAATGTGCTATCTATCATATACTGTCAGTGAAAGAATAAGATTTATATTGCATGCATCCAACAGGGTTGATTCACAACAGGCAAATTGGCTGTTCACTTTGCAGGGGAAGTTGCACTTTGCAAATGAATTTTCCTCAGGTCCTAGTGAATGTGGTGAACATTCATTTTGAAAAGAATACCCAATCTTGCATGGAAAAAAGACCATTTTTGCTTACACATGATTGAGTAATGGAAGTCAACAGTGCTTCGCTTCATTAAGTAAGCTCTGGGGAAAATTCCCTTCCAAAGTTCAACTTCCCTTGCACAGTGAACAGCCAATTTGCCTTTAGTAAATCAACACACTTATTTCATATATCCTAGGCATGCTGCTGTTGAGAACAGGAACGCCATTGGAATCCAGTTATAGAAGTCTTTGGTTCCCAGAGTGTTAAAACCCAACTAGGAGTCTCAGAAAACAGTTTCTTTGCACTAGAGGTCACAGTATAGAAAGTCTGGGAACCTCTAGCAGCTGTGCCACAGGGAAATGGGAGATGGGTTCCACTTTTCTTATTATAGTTATCTGTGTGTTTTTGCCTCTCCTCTTTTCTAGTGGGTTAATAGTTCCTTCAAGTTGCTGTAGTATACCCATATATATTTTCTTATAGGAGTTACAATGTGCGTTGGATCAGGGTTGTTATTCCATTTTATCCTATTTTACCACATTTCTTCTAATTATTAATTTATATATTTTAATTTTCACATATATTTTGCAATGCAGTATATCTTTATATGGGTTTTATTTATTTATTTATTTATTTATTTATTTATTTATTTGTGTCTTTTTTTTAAGTGCATTCAACTCAGGCTCGAGTCCTAGCAACTTGATTATTGAGAGTTCTAAAAAGAATACAGTTTTTGCAAGTCTGGTGAGATCTTCCAGTGTCAATGTCACAGCTGTAATCAATGTGATCAACCATCTAGTAGCTGGTCTCTCTCTTCACCTGGTGCCTTCGATCTTCCTAAACAATATTTCCTTCTTCAGTGATCTCTCTAATAGGTGTGACCAAAATAGGACAGTTGTAACTTCATAATTTGGGCTTCTAGTGACATAGCCGGTTTGATCTCTTTTAAAAATTGAAATATTTGTTCTATGGATTGTCCATGGCATGCATAAAATCCTTCCCTGCACCAATGCTCAAATTAGTCAATCTTTCTGTCCCATTTCCGTTGTTTCCAGCTTTCACAGCTGTAATTGATAACTGAGAAGAAAAGTGCATGGACAGGTCCAGGGGCGGACTGACCATTTGGAAACTTGGGCACTGCCCGAGGGCCCGGGGTCAGTAGGGGGCCCCATGAGATGCCCCTGGAACCTTTTTCATAGGCTTTTTTGAGTTTGGGCAAGGACACAGGGGCCCCATGATCCCCTATTGCCCAGGGCCCCATGAGTTGTCAGTCCGCCCCAGGACAGGTCTGATCTTCATTTTCAGTGCAATTTCTTTACCTTTGAATAGTTTGTCAAGAGTCTTCATTGTGTGGCTACCAAGTGCTATTCTGCGGAATATTTCATAACTGCTAATTGAGTCCTTGTTTATGAAAAAGCCCTCCAGACCCTGCCCATTCAGCTACCACCCGCTTTCTTCACTTCGTGTAGACAACTATGCAGCCTTTTCCTTTGGAATCACAAACGACCTCGTATTGCCTACTCCCAACTTGTGCTCCCAAAATCTAAAGGGGTAATCGGTTTGCCCTATTTACAACGATACCACTGGGCCTGTCACCTCACCAGGATAATTGACTGGAACATTCATCTTACCACCAAGGCCTGGGTTCAATTGGAACATTCCTGCTCCCTTCCCCCTTAGCTTCGGTTCCGTGGCTTCTATCTAAGCATGTGCCCCCAGATCTCCTCACACATCCTATTATTGGTCCTTCCCTGAAAATCTTCCGATTGGCCTGTAAATCGGTCTCCATTTCAGATGCTCCCAACCCCCTTACGTCCCTTCGTTTCAATCCAGACTTCCCTCCAGGTATGCACAAATCCTTCCCTTGAGTTCATTGGCCACATACTCAAGTCTTGGCAAATCACTTCTTCCACAAAGGTCAGCTAAAGACCTGCTTCTCCTTGGCCAGTTCGATGGGAGACCAGTCTTTCCCCTTTTGGGCCTACCTTCAGATCAGACACTTTCTGCTCTCCTCTACGTACCGTTCTAAATGGATTCACCCACTCACCTCATTTGAGTCAATCTGTTCTAAAGCTGAACCACAGAGGCATCTAATATCCTTCACCTATCTGCTCCTCCTTGCCGATAGGCCCTTCGACTCATTCCCAGCATGTAAGGCGTGGAAAAGAGACCTAAATATAGATTTCTCTCCCTCAGACAGGGAACAAATCTTCACATATTCTCACAAATGCTCCCTGAATGTCTCAGCCCAGGAAAATGGCTTTAAACTGGTGTCCCGGTGGTACAATACACCTTCTAGAATTCACCATTTTGACCCTTCTAAGTCTGGTAGTTGCTGGAGATGTGGAGCTCCTGTTGGATCCCTTTTGCATATTTGGTGGGACTGCCCCATTGTTCAGCCCTTTTGGCGGGAGGTGCATAGAATTACCTCTTCAGTGTCTGCTATTGACATTGAATATTCCTAAGCCCAACTCCTCCTTCACCACACCCCCGCTCTCCAAACATATCTATTCCAAATCCCTGGCAATGCACATGCTCACAGCGGCTAAACTCTGCCTGCCAGTGCTTTGGAGATCCACCCACCCACATTAAGAGATTGGTTCCTGTGCATTGACAAGATTGCGGAAATGGAAGAGTTGATTGCCTCATCTTTAGATAATCCTACCAAATTTTCTCACACTTGGTCCTGCTGGACACATTTCTGCATGACTCCTGAATACCGGTCTCTCCTGGGCCTGGCTGACTGACTGATTTGAATACTTCTCAAGCCCTGACATACCTTGAGGGCTCTGTTAGCTCCTTGTTCCCTGACAAGTGTATATGAGACCCCTGATATTGGTACCCCTCAGTGCCGGGAGCGTTATTCATATTGATTTATTTCTGCATACGCTCACCTTTAGCCTCTTTTGAGGACTCCTTTTTGTACATGCACATATTTTACCCTGACAGTTTTTTCAGTGAAGGTACCTTATTCGCCCTCCTACCTTCCCCTCCCCCCCCTTCCTATTATTCCCTTTTTCTGCTATTAACCCCGCTCCTCCCCTTCCCCCTTTCTCCCCCTTCCTCCTAGTTCCACTGCCCGCCTCCTTTTTTTTTTTCTCTTTCTCTCTTCTTCTCTCTCTCCCTACTTATTCCCTATCCTACTCAGAGCCTTTTTCATTTTTCTTCTTCATTATCCTCGGATTCATTGCCTACCTGCAGGAACGCTTCATTTATACCCCGCTCCTCCCCTTCCCCCTTTCTCCCCCTTCCTCCTAGTTCCACTGCCCGCCTCCTTTTTTTTTTTCTCTTTCTCTCTTCTTCTCTCTCCCTACTTATTCCCTATCCTACTCAGAGCCTTTTTCATTTTTCTTCTTCATTATCCTCGGATTCATTGCCTACCTGCAGGAACGCTTCATTTATTTGTTCTCCAACCGTGCCGTCTCTTCTTTCCCTTATCTATCAAATAGACGCTGACAACTACTTTTGAGTTACCTCTACAACATAACACAAGGGGCTACGCATTATTTGCCTCTATATGCATCTTCCTGCGATCACCATAAATAGTGCCATTATGCTTTTCCTACACCTCCTTCATTGGCCTTGATAAGGTAACCGATGTTTCAGATCAATACTTCTGCCAGTGTTACGACTCCAATAAGCTGCTTGGGGAACTGAGACCAGTTGTGCCTTCCTCTACCTTTTATCATTGATAATGTTCTGATAATGTTCCGTAATACACTATCTGTTGCATATACTTTGTCATCTACTGTATGCATTTCTGCTCTCATGTGATGCTTGTACCCGCTGTATGCTCTGAGTTCTTTAACCATTTGACGCCCGGCCAATAGCCGTATGGCGTCCGTAAAAATGCACTAGCTTTCCGGGAGGCCGCCATATGGCAGTTCGCGCACTTGCAGAGCCACGCAGCAGTGCGATCTGTCACCGGCTGTGTACCTCGGACACGGCCGATGACAGATCTGAGTATCCGCCTCATTGCCTGTACATGTGACCTGCTGTGACCAATCACAGCAGGTCACATGACAGTTGTATACAATGGATGGCTTCATTCATGCCATCCATTGTATACTAGTGACTAGCTGGGAATGGTCACAGCTAATCACATGCACATACACAAAAACCCTGAATGAATCCATGTCATTCAGGTAAATGCTTGCTTATAGCAAAGTAATTCTTTGCTATAAGCAAATTGTGTAAAAAAAAAAAAATACTGATCACTTCCCCAAAGTAGTACAATGTTACTATGGTAACATTGTACTACTTTGGACATAGTGAAATATGAAAAAAAAATCTTAAAAAGAGAAAAAAATGTAATAAAACTATATATTTTTTTTTTCACACTGTCACCAGTCAGTGTCCCTGATCACCGCCATGACAGTTATATGATGATGCTGTACTGCACTGGTGACAGTATGTAAAAAAAAATTGTGAAAATAATTTTTTTTATTTTTTTCATTTTCCGAAAAATTATGACAAAAAAAATACAACTTAAAAAAACTTTCCATTCCTCTTATGAAGTACGTTGGACTGTCTACTTTGCAAAAAGGGGTCATTTGGGGGATATCTGTACTGTTCTGACATTCTTGGACCTCAAGAAATTAGATTGGCTGTCAGTACTTCAGGATTGATGAATATTCAGATCTATACCATAGTTTGTGATCTCTATAAACTTTCCTACAAACTAAAAAATACATCCTAATTTGGGTTATTTTCACCAAAGACATGTAGCAGAATACATCTCGGCCTAAATTTATGAAGAACAGTTATTTATTTGTAAACTTTTATAACAGAAACAAAGAAAAACGTGTTTTTTTTTTCAACATTTTTGGTCTTTTTTTGTTAATTTAGCAAAAAATAAAAACGCCAGTGGTGATTAAATACCACCAAAAGAAAGCTCTAGTTGTGTGAAGAAAATTATAACATTTTAGTTTGGATACAATGTTGTATGACCGCGCAATTGTCATTCAAAGTGTGAGAGCGCTGAAACCTGAAAAATGGCCTGGGCAGGAAGGTGTAAAATTGCCTGGTATTGAATTGGTTAATAAACATTATGGAAAAAAAAAAAAAGAAAAAGCCCAGGAAATTAAAATGCTTTCCAACTTCTATTCTATTGCCATCAAGCTCAAAATCGTCATCATTTTCTGTGTTCGTGATCTTTATCTGGTTTATATTCAGTTCTAATCCTGTTTTGACTTTTGGTTTCACCTTTTCCCAGTAAGTACAGCATATCCTCTTCACTGCTTCTTCACTGTTGGTGATATGCATTGTTTCATCTGCATAGCTGTCAGGAAACCCATACTCAAGTGCATTTTCAAAGGAATCTCCATGCTCAAAGAAATGCCTGTACTCCAAGAAATGCTTGTGCTCAAAGAAATACGCATGTGCGATATAGAACTGTGCATAGAATTAGGACCCTGCATGCATCTACATGAGTATGTGTTTGTGCACGTGCACGTGAGCATTAGTATGAGCGTTTTTGTTCTGGCACCCAGTGGCTTATTTAAAGCCCTGCTGGACATTGCTGAGGGGTCATCAGCTCCGTTTGCTTGTGACCTGATCCTGTGTACTCCTGTATTCTGACCCGGCTTGCTGAATCTTGCTCGTTCCTGAAGTCCTGTTGCTGACTTTGGCTTGTGATCAGACCTTGCTATCTTCCTGCTGTTCCAGTACCCTCTCTGCTCATCTGATGCTGACCTTAGCCTGGCTCTGACTCTGCTCTTGGTTTCCAATTCGGCACTCCTGCTGTCCGGTTGTTGCTGACCCCTGCCTTTCTGACCACGTATCTGAGATCCTGTAGCTGGCTGTTGCCAGCTGATCTTCTTCAACTCTGCATCTGCTATCAAGACATCCTACACAAGATCCCCTGCAGGTACCCATGCCACTCTGAGCCCTCTTATCCCCAGGGGAAACAAGACAAGAGGTGTAAGGGCAGCCCTCTCGTCAGCTTGGCCTCTACCAGGTAATAAAAGGTAATAGGCAGGGGCGGACTGACCATTTGGAAACTCGGGCGCTGCCCGAGGGCCCAGGGTCAGTAAGGGGCCCCATGAGATGCCCATGGTACCTTTTTCATAGGCTTTTTTGAATTTGGGCAAGGACACAGGGGCCCCATGATCCCCTATTGCCCGGGGGCTCCATGAGTTGTCAGTCCGCCCCTGGTAATAGGACAATAGTGCAGGTTGCTTATGTTTCGGCCACCAACTTTGATACCAACAGGCTCATCTTCAACAGCAACAATAATATATAAATATGAGTCAAATATAGACCAGATACAATACTCTATTATAATCAATTATATAGATTACGTATATTTATATTCAGATATTTTTAAACATGTGTCAGATACAGATTAGATACAATATGCCTCAATTATCAGCTGCATTTATTACTTTTCTTTTAATCATTTTAGTTATGTTTTTGAGACATGGGGTTGCTGACATTTATAGTTCACCACTTTGTTTGGCCTGTTTTATTTTCTCATTGTTTTATTGTATACATGCAGTATGCCGCTTTCCTAAATTCACTGTGGATATATGTTGTATAATGCTGGCACTTGTAGTTCGCTACTATGCTATGCCATCTAGCCTTGAAGTGCTCATACATATATTCTACTGTATAAGGATGCTTTTTGTTTTGGTTCTGTTTGCTTTTTGTTTTCTGCGTTCAGCGGGCTCCTTATTTCCCATGCCATCCGTGGAGGCTGGTTCTCATTATATTCCGCCCACTTTATTCATATACACCAGGGGTGTCCAAACTTTTTTCAAAGAGGGCCAGATTGGATGAAGTGAACATGGTGGAGGGCCGAACATTTTTCCGAACATTCTTTGAACCATTACAATTAAATGCAAATAAATTATTTTATGCCAAGTTAATTGCAAACGACATACTTTTCATTTCATAACATTAAGATCAACTGACAGCTGAGTTTTCACAATGTATTGAAAATAAATTTAAAAAAAACTTACCTGCACTAATGTGAAGGGTGAAAAAGGTAGCTGGAGCTGAAGTCTCTGCTCGGCAGCCGGGAGGGGAAGAGAAACACACTTCACGCTGGAAGCCCGGCCCTGACGTCACCGCCCTCTGTCGCTCCCAGCGCGGCGCAGTCACGCATGCGCACTGCTCTCAAGCAGAAGACTGTCTGCCACAGAAGGGAGGGCCATGCGACAGCCGCATTTACACAGACCAGGGAGAACGCGCCGCAGTCAGGCATGCGCACTGCCCTCTGCTCTCAAGCAGAAGACTGTCTGCCATAGAAGGGAGGGCCGTGGGAGGGCCACATTACACAGAGCAGGGAGGGCTGTTGGAGGGCCGTATTAAACCGACCCCCGGGCCGTAAATGGCCCGCTGGCCGGACTTTGGACATGCCTGATATACACAGTCCTTCTCAGTTGTTCCTTGCCATGTGCCACCTCTAATTCTCCCCATGGCATTCACTTTGGTGTTTTCTCTTTCTCCTGTGGGCAGGCTGAATGCATCTCCAGTATGGTCATCTATTCCTTAAACTAAGAGAAAGGGAATGCGTAGCCATGCCCACCACACCCAGCTGATGTAATGAGGCTTCCTTGAGCTAGCCAAATTAGATTTTGGTCTGTAGGGAGGGACCTCCTAGCTGTGGTGATTCCTTGCTGGCTGACAGAGCTGACTCGGGTGGAAGGAAGAAGTATTGTGGCACCTTTGTCCCTGATGATACCTACATGATTTTTCTCTTCATGTGAATGGTCATTTTTGAGTAATGTTATCACAATAAAGGATTAATATACTGTGCTTAGCTGCACCTTCCCCTTTTTCTTGTGCTCTTGGTACCTTTTATAGGCTTTTTTTGAGTGTGGGCAAGGACACAGGGGCCCCATGATCCCCTATTGCCCGGGGCCCCATGAGTTGTCAGTCGTCCTCTGGCTTACAGTATCTCTTAACCACTTCAAGTCCGGACACTTTCACCCCCTTCCAGTCCAGGCCAATTTTCAGCTTTCAGCGCTATCACACTTTGAATGATAATTGCACGGTCATGCAACACTGTACCCATATTAATTTTTTTGAGACAGATAAAACTTTATTTTGGTGGTATTTATTCAGCACTGGGATTTTTGTTTTTTTGCTATATAAATGAAAAAGTCCCAAAATTTTTAAAAGTGTTTTTCTTATAACATTTTGCAAATAAATAATCTTTCTTCATAAATCTTGGGCAAAAATTTATTCATCTATCTTTTTAGCAAAAAAAAATAACCCAAATTAGTTTATAACCAAAAATTATAATTTTTCAAAAGCATTTTTTATATTTTTATTTTATATTATTATTTATGGGGTTTTTTTTTTAACATACTGTCACTCTAGCAGTATAGTGTCACCATAGTGACACTGTACTACTTGAGTGGAGTGATGAAGAATTTTTTTTTCTTTTTGTTCACGGATTGCTTTTACACCCATAACGGCTGTAAAAGCAATCATTTCTCCTTCTCTTTGTAGCAGCCATTGAGAAATACTGTGTGAGCTGTGATTGGTCGCAGCTTGTCACATGGTACAAGGCTGTTGTGAATAGCCTTGTACCATGTGACCTCTGTGATCATTCACAGATTTCACAAGTAGTAAGCAGGGGTGGACTGACAACTCATGGGGCCCCCGGGCAATAGGGGATCATGGGGCCCCTGTGTCCTTGCCCAAACTCAAAAAAACCTATAAAAAAAAGGTACCAGGGGCATATCATGGGGCCCCCTACTGACCCCAGGCCCTTGGGCAGTGCCCGAGTTTCCAAATGGCCAGTCCGCCCCTGGTAGTAAGCAATGTGCTCCGGAGGACACAGTGGGCACAGATCACGGTGCCAAGTGCTCACAGGTAATGGATGCGGGGGGGACATTTAGAAACGTCCCCCCGCATCGGCAGCGCTCCCATCCGGCCGTTTATCGACATGGGCCAGATGGAAAGAGGTTAACTTCTTTCCAGTGCATGAACTGATTTGCATGAACTGATTTGCTCCTGTAGGTACTACTTCCTCTCATACTACAACTCTGCTATACAAGGACTGGAAGATGCTGATACCAGGTTAAATTCAGGTACTCACACTTCCTGCATTTAAAAACTACAAGACTTGTTCATTATTCCTTATCAAGTCTGTAAATATTCAGAGAAGTGCAAATGATCCCTTACAGATTTATTTCTTTTTATAAACTGTACACAACCCCTACACATACTATATATGGCCTGCGTAAAGTAAGGAAAAATACAATGGGTTTACTTCAAGCATCCAATCAGGTGAAGAGGAAGTTCACTTCAATTCAGTTTACCACTTCATAAATCAGGCATATGTTAAGTTCACCTCATTTGACTAACTGGACATTTTTAGTAAATTCCAGGAGCACAATGAATACAGCCACTATCTTAGACTAAGTCTACCATAGAGGAGCAAGCATAGTTAGCTAGCAGTCATAGGTGCAGGGACAACCTGGAAAGACATATTAAGGCTAGATACGATAAAGTATCCTAAAATGTTTTTTCATAAAAACATTTAAGAACTTCAGCCAGAATAAAAGGCACCAGAAACCATCTAATATCATGTTATGTGCATTTCCTGCTTGCTTTTCTATTTGTCTTCTGCAATATTACTGCAGAGAATTGTGACTTCCCAGGTACTGGGAAAAACTTTGTCTAATGAAAGGCAGTAGATGGGAGGATATGCAATAGGAATAAAGTCTAACAAAACCTTCAAATGAAAATGAAATGAAAAAAACCAAACATTTTAAATGACTAACACCCTTTTTAACACTTAAATATACTTTCTTTTAGATATCAGTGATTGCACCATGCACAGTGCTTCTGCTCAGTAGGCTGGCTTTTGTTTTCTTGACAAGTGTTAATGCACATCGCTTTATTGTAGACTACACATCAGCCACTAAGTGTGCAGTCCCGATGTAGGGAACATTCTCAATGAAAAAATCAAACTATGTCTGCCATCCTGTTTGGCTCAGCATTTTAGTATTTACTGCAACATCCTGGGTGACAGCATTGCGACTCCATAGAATAACATTAGGGTAGTGTTTTCATCCTGGGAAAGAAAGTCACAGAGAGGGCCACAGGGATCCCAATGCGCAAATCAAAGAAAATCAAGTTTTCAGTGCAAAATATTCAGCCTCACAAGATCCAAAGGGGTAAGCTACTAAGTGTTCTGTAGTCCACGGAGACAACTTGGGACAATGCTAATTAAGACCAGGGTTGCAGAGGCAGAAAGCACAGGAAGTTCACAAGATTTCTGACAGATGTAACCAAATATTTTCAATGGTATACTTAAGAAACCAAAAGGGAGCAAATAGGAGAAGGTTATTGTTAGGGGTTATATACATTTTAATAGCTGCTGTGTCGTCAATGACTTGCCAAAGCCATGCAATAGAGAAAGGTTTACTCTCTTGGCAGAGGCACACAAATTTATAGAGCTTTATTTGTTCTTTAAACTGGTACACCTATAAAGCAAATATGGATAAAAGTGTTTCAACTTACATATCTATCACTGAATTCTATGTTTTGCCTGAAGTCCTCCTTTAAATCAATTTAATTTTACCACTAGTCAAAATATTAACTGTAATAGCAACTGACAGTAGTTTCTCACTTAGTATTAGAGTTGATGTGCAAAGTGAACATCTCAAGGTCTTCTAGGGGAAGCAAATTATTTATGATAATTAGGTTATATGTGTTAAAAGCTTTGCCAAGAAGAATAAACAAATTTGTTAGATTGTTTAAAAGTAAGCTATAAAGACACGTTTACTTTCCTGGCTTAGAAAACATTTTCAATTGAACTTGAATCCAAGAGTACCATGAACCATCTTGTCAAGCCAAAAGAGCAAAATGGTATCACATTTACATTTTTTTTTCTTAACCTCCCTGGCGGTCTGATTATTTCAGATTTTTGGTGCTGAAAGCGGTACCATTATTTTGCATGGAAATTTGGCGTTTTATATTGTAGGCTGTAATTCTTAGGAATAACTCACTGAAATCTGTCTGAACAAGAGTCTAGTAAACATCCCGGGTAGGATAAAACTTGAAACACGAAATCAAAAATTATAATTTAATAAATAATCATAAAAAATAATAATATAATAATAAATGTAATTCAATATTATAATCAAACCAAAAACACTAAAATTTGAAATATAGCGCCAAGTTCGCACATCACTGAGCAAAGTCGCAAAATTGTTTTCAGTGTCTGATGACAAATTTCCCCACGAATCATTATCACTCAATTCTGCAAGTGGTTCTGATTTACTATCGCTGTTCTCTAG